AAATATTAATGTAAGAAAACAAAGCCAGGAATTCATTCTCCTGGATATTGCTGCTTCTGCTGAATTCAAGAGACTAGAAGCTTTAAGTTCTCTTCAGAAATAGCCTGCATGAAGCTCTCCCTGCTCAGAGGCAGCAGCCAGTCCCTGCTGCTCCAGAGCCCTGGGCACTGCTGGGCACAGGGAGAACACGGGATCTGATTTCCAGATCCTGGATGGATTCTTCTTTGAATGCTTGGAATGGCCTCCATTTCCTCACTTCCATTTTCAGCTACACATCTCATGGACAGGCAACATCAGTCTCCTGTCAAGATTTTTCCATACTTGTGCCTGATGGTCAGGGGCAAACACACAAGTGCAGGTCCCAGAGGTAACTGCCCGTTGCAGCGCCGCACGCTCCTCCCGCAGACAGACCGAGGCCAAACACTTTTGTTCTGCTCTGCTGGCTCAAATAACCCCTGTGGCCCTGCCTCACACTGCCTCTCCCTCCACATCTTCCAAAATGATACAGTCAAGATACATCTGCTACTCCCCAGAGGTTATTTTGGATGTGAATACATTTCTAAATTATCAACAGCCAAGAAGTTGAAGGAATTCCAGCTCACCATGTTCCAGGTGAAGACACTTCAGTCAATAACTGAAATATACTTCTTATTCTTTTAGGAAAAAAGCTACTTTTTTTTGGCTTTTTAAAGACCATTTAAAAAACACACCAATTGAAATGCTCTTAAAAAACAGCTTCAGTAATTTTCAGTTTACAAATTTAAGTCTAGCATTCCAAATGGGATTACTTGTGCAGCGCTGCAGCCCTAGAACAGCATGATTTCCCAGGAATGTTAAGTTGCTAACATTAGTTTAGGACCATATCACTGAAAAAGCTGCCAAAGACACAACAAAATTCTTATCTAAGAAACTAATAGGACAGCTTCTTTCCTGACACTGTCCAGAACCATTCCACATGCAGCAGCACGTTCATTCGTACCAACCTGCTGGGCATTTCCCTTTAGATAACTGAAATCAAGAGTAGAAAACAATTTCCAAATCTAACCCAGGCTGCATTAAAACTCCTTTGCACATACTTGGAAATACCTTCCAAGCCCTTGCTGCTGCCTGTGCTTTACATGTGTAGAGAGGTGGTGGTTACCTCCGGGCTGTCCCTCAGGGCATCGGAGCGGGGCAGCTCCGAGAGCTGCGAGAAGCGCCGGTCATAGATGCAGAGGTGAAGGTGTTTGTCCAGCACCCTGAAATCCTCATAGCTCCGCTTCACGATCCAGCTCCTCCCCTGCAGAAACACAACAGAGGATCACATTCGGATAAGCTCCTCACCAATTCAGCTTAGATGAAGAACACGTACATTTACTCTGGAGCAGCAGGCAGATCTGCCCGTCTTCCTTCTCAGAACAATGGAAAGGGATGGAAGTGTTTTATGATGTCTCATGTTTTCATTTGCAGACAGCCATTCATGCCCATCATTAGTGTTCCTGTTTTCATTATTTAACTGTGGGTTTGGACTTGACCCAGCATAGAATCATAGAACCATTCATGTTGGAAAACCCCCTGGGATCACCAAGTCCAACCACCATACCTACTCTACAAAGTTCTCCCCTAAACCACATCCACCAACACCACCTCCAAATGACCCTTCAACATGTCCAAGGATGGTGACTCCACCACCTCCCTGGGCAGACTGTTCCAGTGTCCAACCACTCTTGCTGTGAAATTGTTTTTCCTAATGTCCAGTCTGAACCTGCCCTGGTGCAGCTTGAAGCCCTTCCCTCTTGTTCTGTCACTAATGACCTGTGAGAAGAGACCAGCACCAGCCTCTCTACAATGACCTTTCAGGTAGTTGTAGAGACTGATGACATCTCCCCTCAGCCTCCTCTTCCTCAAATTAAGCATTCCCAGCTCCTTCAAGCCTTCTTCATCAGATTGATTCTCCAGGCCCTTCACCAGCTTTGTTGCCTCCTCTGTCCTCGCTCCAGCACCTCGAGATCTCTCTGGAATGGAGGTGCCCCAAACTGGACACAACACTCCAGGTGTGGCCTCCCCAGTGCTGAGGACAGGGGGACAATCACCTCTCTACTTCTGCTGCTCACACTATTTCTAAGACAAGACTGCTCTAAAGCTTTTCACTTCCATCTGTCTTACACAGATCTGGCACCATTTTCATACACAGGGCTTCTTTGCACAAATGTAAATGACAAACCAGTTGTATAAATAGCATGAAATTAGATTCTACAAAGATAGAAGATACAATCAGGGATCTGAAGGCAGAATTGGAGCTTGCAAAATTTCTGTCAGATGCCCCAGGCAAATCTTCAGCTGAATTAAAAAAAAACAATCTCTGATGAATAACACTAGCTGAAGATTTACTCTTGAATGCACATCATTTCCCCAATTAAAACATGGGCAAGATCCTCACTGCTCCAGGGGACAAGGAAGGGACCGTGGCAGCACAGCAGAATTTGCTCTGTGAAGCTTTTAATATCTAATGAGTACTTCTTAATGCTTCATGGCTTATTATGATCAATAAAAACTGTTGTAATAATGCAGCAGTTTACAGGTCAAAGGATGTTATGAACAGTCATGAATCCTCTCACCACTCCCATGTGGCCCCTAAAATGAGACTATTCCTGTTTCACAGATGTGGACACTGGCCCTCCACAAAGCTTCCCCACCTTCTCTTTTCAGTGCAAAGCACTTGTGCAGTTTTTCCTAAAGTCAACTCCATTGCCCTATTTAAAAAGAAAAAACCCCTCTCCATCAGCACTGCATGGCTCTGCTTCACCTTCCACTTCTAGAAAGGATGAGAAAAACAAGGATGTCAGCCAGGTGCTGCTGTGGCACAGCAGGAAGAGATGTCAGAGGAAGGAATTTGGTTGCTCCATGTTATATGGTCACTCAGAGGCAGGGCCAAGGATTAAAAACCACAAAGGGATGCCTGGAAAGCAGCACAGAAAGCAGGGAATTGCATGGTGCAAGAGGGGACACGGCATCCTTTTGGTTTTCCATTGGGAAAGGATCTTGGAGCATGATCCCAGATCTGCCCACTGCACCCAGCAGGGTTCTGGACATGATGCCTTCTGCACCTGGGCCACACAAAATCATGGCCACTGCCACTTCCCAACCACAGTCCTCTATGCTCATTTATTAGGCAAGTTCTAAGCATCACTTTTCTATTAATATCCACAGCTTGCAAGGCAATTGTAAATGTAAAACATGACATCAAGTGTATTAGATGTTTTCTGTCAAATTTATTTAAGACAACTCCAGATCACGTACTGTGCCCACAAACTCTGCTTTCATATCACAAGAAATCACCCATGTTTCACAAGCCCACACGAGGGAACCTACACAGGACACAAATGCTTTGTGATTTCCAGAAGTTAGGTCATTTTACTTTTCATCTAAAGGAGAAGAACAAAACCAGGAGTGCAAGTCTAATTATCTTCAAAAAGATGACAGTCTTTCCAGTTTCTCCATCTTTTGCAATTAAGTGGCTCTTGCTCTCTTGGCAAGTTGCCAGTATGACCTCGAGCTGAGCAAGGCTTAGTCACCAATGTAAAACCCAACAGACCAAGAAATTGCTGCAATCCTGTACTTGCTTGTCCCTGCTGCACCCCATAGAACATTGCAATACAACCCTGCCCACATGAAGAACAAACCTATTTTTCCAAGGATCACAATTCTCTCATTAATTCCACAATACTTTAATTTCAAAATTGTTGGATTGTAGATTTTCAGTCTCTTAAGACTGCAAGAGTTAAATTTACAAGAGAGGAATAGCTGGGGTCAGCAAAGGGCTGCCCTGTGTGACAGGATGTGCAGGATCAGCTTGGAGAGAGGACACTACACAGTGTTCTGGCTTCTGCTGGGACCCACTCCACACCACCACAGCTACCAAGGCACCACTGAGCAGGGCCAGCTCACCTCACCACAGCAGCTTCTGGCCCCACCATCTCTCTGGGAGGCTTCTCCTGTGCTCCACAAGGACTTGTGGAGCAGGTGCTGAGCCAGCAGAGCCCAAGGGTGGTGCGGGAAGGTAACCCAGGACCCCCAGAACCCTGCACCTTCCAACTGCAGCATCTGCAGCTGCTAAGCAACCAGCTGAGCCATCCCTGCAGGAGCAGCAGGCTCCATGAGGAACACTGCACAAGGTGGGGGACCAGAACTGCCAGTGCCATTCCCAGTAAGTCAGCCCAACGCTGGGAATCACAGCCCTGGATCTCCAGCTCTTGTGCAGGGGTGCAGGACACCCGTGGGATGGGGCTGCCTGTTCTCCAAGCACAGGCAGGATGACTGTTAGACTGAACACGGCTTCAGGAGCAGCTTTACACATCACCACCCAGCAGAAAGTGACTCCACCACCCTTTCCAGTCTGCCATCACTACAGCCCAGATGCCTCACGTTGCTCTCAGGGTTGTGTTCAGCAAAGCTTTTGCAGATTCAGAGCCCCAGTGATACATTTTTAAGCAAAAAAAAAAAAGCATCATATTTACAGGACATGAAATTAACTTCACAGAAAATAGTAATTGCAGTGATCTAGGAGGGGACTGGACAACATTCAGTGCTTCCCCTCAGATCTCCAGTACAAACCACAGGACAGTCCAGTCTAAATCCTCTCAGCTGGACTTGCAGAGATGTGTAGCCAAAGCAGCAGAACCAACAGTGACCTCATTCAATATCAAAAATACTACAATGTTTCACTGTACCCATATAAAAATTGTACATCTTGCTCCCATTTCCTGCAAATTCAAAAGTGCCAGAAGAGTTTTGCAGAAGGGTTCTTTTTTTAATTTAGAGTTAATAAAATAACAGAAACAAGTAAGTGAGTGTTAAGTTGGTCTCGTGTTGTCAGCTGTGCTTTATAGCAAAGCTCAACATTCCTGGTGCTTGGGGCACGGAATATCCATATGGCAGAAATGCCTTATTCCCATTCTTAATGATTTCCATAAATTGTTGCTCAAATCAGCTTTTGATCACCACCTAATTTTCCAATCCAATCTCACTTTTCTATTCTTTAATTACTGAGGGTCCTGATTTTAAAGAAGCACATGCTCAAAAGCCATTGATGTGAAGGGGCTGTAAGGATGGAGGTGAAGTTAAGCACATAGTCAAGGGACTTCCTGGCTTCAGACCTTCAATTACAAACCTGGATAAGACAAATGTCATCAAGATAAAGAATCAAGTCTCAAACGAAGATTTCAATAATGCCATCAAAGAGTTTCACAATCTTTAAAAGGAAAAACTGACCACTGAGACAACAAAACACCCTCTTGAAGAAAATCCAAGTGTTTTTTGGAATTTCATTTTACAGAAGCATTCACAATGAAAAGCATCATGACAACTATGGAATTTCTCATGTAATTGAGAATCTGGGCTCATTCCTACACTTTACTACAGCTTGATCTGTTCTCTCTTACTCCTCCATGCTGTGTAGTGCTAAATGGATGATGAAAGGCTGCTGAGGAGGGGATTTCAAAACATCCTTTGCATTTTCATTCCCATAGTTAAAAATTCCATTTTCACTCCATCATCTCTTAAACCTTTCAGCTGAGTGGTGCAAAAACCTTACTGGTGTAAGGTAACTGGGGCTCCCAAAACCTGAAGGCCAGTTCCATACAGGAATATTTTTATGCGAACTTAACTGTTTGCACTTGGGTCCTGGCAAGAAGCAACTCTTTCCTTTTTTTTTAGAGAAGAGCCAGGGGCTCCCTCAGAGGCACCCGGAGAAGGGAACAGGCTCATCTGTGTCAATATTTCTGACACAATTCATTTAGAAAACGGATATCCACAAGTTTTATAATAAAGATTTAAAGATCACCTCTCCCCACTATGTAAAAGACCATGTTTCCAGCTGATTGTGTTTATAGCTGTGCCAATAGGACCCCTTTTTGTCCATCAATGCCTCTTCAGGCCAGACAGGGGACTATTGAGTTCCGGCACGCACAGCTTTCCTGTCCCACGGTCTCAGTATGTTTTCTCTGTAGCACCTAAGATTTATTTATTTTAAGACAGGGATAGACCTTTCTTTTCTGGTTCAAATGCTTATTTCCTGAGAGAAATCACATGGATGCTCTCATGAACCTTCCCAGTCCACACGGAGATCGAGAGCAGAAAATGAGATGAAAGCGTGTGGCAAAAGTCAATGCAGTTTGACCCTCTAGTAAGAAAACACCACGTATTAAATGGCTGGAAAAATGCCAGGATCCACCAGAAGAATTTAACTCTGCCATGTGGGTGACTTTTACAGCTGTTTGGGTCTTGGGTTCTGTATGTTAT